GACTGAGCCACCCAGGCGCCCCAGCTACTTTAGATATCCACTCCAGGGTTCTTTTGATTAGTGTCTGAATGATAAATATTTTTTCCATCTCTTTACTTTTTTTTTTTTTTTTTAGGAGAGAGAGAGAGAGTGCACACACATGAGCAGAGGTAGGAGGGACAGAGGGAGAGGGAGAAAGAGAATCCCATGTGGGCTCCACACTCAGCATAGAGTCTGATGCGGTGCTTGATCTTACAACCCTGAGATCATGACCTGAGCTGAAATCAAGAGTCAGACACTTAACCTACTGAGCCACCCATGGGCCCCTCCATCCCATTACTTTTTTTTATTTTTTATTTTTTTAAAGATTTTATTTAATTATTTGAGAGAGAGAATGAGAGAGAGAGAGAGAGCCCATGAGAGGGGGGAGGGTCAGAGGGAGAAGCAGACTCCCTGCTGAGCAGGGAGCCCGATGTGGGACTCTATCCCGGGATTCCAGGATCATGACCTGAGCCGAAGGCAGAAGCTCAACCAACTGAGCCACCCAGGCGCCCCCATTACTTTTTTTTTTTTTTTAAAGAACTCTATTGTTATAATTGATATAATTTACCCATTTAAAGTGTACAATTAAATATTTTTAAGTATATTCATAGATATGTGCAACCATTACCACTACCTAACGTAAGAATATTTTCATTACTCTCAAAAGAAAGCCTATACACATTAGTAGTCACTCCCTATTCTTCCTTACTCCCAGCCCCGAATACCACTAACCTTCTTGCCCGTATAGATTTACCTATCCTGGTTATTTCACATAAATGGAAGCATACAATTCTGTGACCAGTTTCTTTCACTTACCATAATCTTCTTCAAAGTTCATTCATGTTTTAGCACGTATCAGTACTTTATTCCTTTTTTTAAAAAAGAGATTTTATTTGAGGGGCACCTGGGTGGTTCAGTTCTTAGGTGTCTGCCTTCGGCTCAGGTCATGATCCCGGGGTCCTGGGATCGAGCCCCACATTGGGCTCCCTGCTCCGTGGGAAACCTGCTTCTCCCTCTCCCACTCCCCCTGCTTGCATTCTTGCTCTTGCTATCTCTCTCTGTCAAATAAATAAATATTTTTTAAAAGATTTTTTTTTTAAAGATTTTATTTATTTATTTGACGGAGAGGGACACAGCGAGAGAGGGAACACAAGCAGGGGGAGCAAGAGAGGGAGAAGCAGGCTTCCTGCGGAGCACGAAGCCCAATGTGGGGCTCGATCCCAGGACCCCGGGATCATGACCTGAGCCGAAGGCAGACACTTAACGACTGAGCCACCCAGGCGCCCTTAAAAAAGATTTTATTTGATAAAGAACAAGAGAGAGCTCCCCACCCCCAGCACAAGTGGGGGGAGGGGCAAAGGGTGAGGGAGAAGCAGATCCCTGCTGAGTAGGGAGCCCAACAAGGGGCTCAATCCCTGGACCCCGGGGATCATGACCTGAGCCAAAGGCAGACACTTAACCGACTGAGTCACCTAGGTGCCCCATTTTATTTCTTTTTTATAGTCAAATAATATTTTATTGTATGGATCTAACACAGTTTATGCACTCTCTTGTTGATAGACACCTGAGTTGTTTCTCCTTTGACTATTATGAACATATAATAGCTAGGAACGTCTGTGTAGCAAGATTTTGTGTGAACATGTTTTCAATTCTCTTAACTGGAGACGAATTTCTGGGTCATATAGTAATTCTATATTTAACACTTTGATGTTTGTTTTCTAAAGTGGCTGTGCCATTTTACATTCCCAATAACAATACGTGAGAGTTCCCATTTCTCCATATCCTCATCAACTCTTGCTATTGCTCATCTTGATTATAGCCATCAAGGTGGGTATGAAGTGGCATCTCATTGTGGTTTTGAATTGCATATCCCTAATGGCTAATGATATGGAGTATCTTTCCATGTACTTATTGGTCATTTATATATATTCTTTGGAAAAATGCCTCTTCAGATTCTTTGCTCATTTTTTAATTGGGTTGTCTTTTTATTCTTGAGTCATACAAACACACACACACACACACACCATCTGGATACAAGTCCCTTATCAAATATATGATTTGCATTTTTTTCTCCCATTCTGTGTATTGTCTTTCCATTTTCTTGATGGTGTCCTTTGGGGCACAAAAATTTTAAATTTTTATGAAATCCACTTTAATTTTTCCTCTGTGTGTGTACTTTTGATGTTGTATCTAAGAAGCCTTTATTTACCCCAAGAATATGAAGATTTACTACTCTTATGAGTTATATAGTTTTAGATTTTACATTTAGGTCTATGATCCAACTTGAGTTAGTTTTTGTGTGTGGTCTAAGGAAAGGGTCCAACTTCATTCTTTTGCACATGGATATAGAGTTGTCCCAGCATCATTTGTTGAAGTGACTACCTTTGCCCCATTGAATTATCTTGGCATCCTTGTTGAAATCAATTGACCATAAAGTGAGGTTCATCATACCATGTAGACAGCTTATAATTGATTCATGTTATTTCTTTTATTATCCATTTTGACATTATCTGTCATTTAATTATTTTGTTTATAACATTTACATTTAATACAATTTTTCTATGCTTGGATTTAGATGTAAGGATATAACTTAGATATGAGATCTGGAAAATAATAAAGCTCTATGATTTGTGTTATAAGAATTTCACAAGAAACCTTTTTAAAGACATTGACTATTAGAATTTCACTTAATTTAGAAAGTTTGTTTTGAAGAGTTGCATTGCATATAAAACATATTGTATTGGGGCGCCTGGGTGGCTCAGTTGTTAAGCGTCTGCCTTCGGCTCAGGTCATGATCCCAGGGTCCTGGGATTGAGCCCCGCATGGGGGTCCCTGCTCAGCGGGAAGCCTGCTTCTCTTTCTCCCACTCCCCCTGCTTGTGTTCCCTCTCTCGCTGTGTCTCGCTATGTCTGTCAAATAAATAAATAAAATCTTAAAAAAAACCCATAAAAAACCATATTGTATTATCATTGATTTCATATAATCAAATCAGAAGAAATAGAGCTTTCTCTGTTTTTAAATTTTTTATTGAGATATAACTGACATATAACATTGTATTAGTTGTAGGTGTACAATGATTTGATATATGTACACATTGCAAAACGATTATAAGTTTAGTTAACACCTATCACCACATAGTTACACTTTTTTTCTCATGATGAGGACTTTTAAGATTCATTCCTTTAGGGGTGCCTACGTGGTTCAGTTGGTTGGATGTCTGCCTTTGGCTCAGGTCATGATCTCAGGGTCGTTTGATGAGCCCCCCATCCGGCTCCCTGCTCAGCCAGGAGCCTGCTTCTCTAGCTTCCTTTGCCCCTCCCCCTGCTTGTGCTCTCACTCTCTCAAATAAATATATAAAATCTTAAAAAAAAATCGGTTCCTTTAGCAACTTTCAAATATACAATATAGTATTGTTAACTATAGTCTCCATATTGTACATTATATCCACAGGACTTATAAACTGGATGTTTGTTTGAACTTTTTGATCACCTTCACCCATTTCTCCCTTCCCCACTTTGGCAACCACCAATTCCTTCTCTATATCCATGAGTTTTTTTTTAGATTCCACATATAAGTGAGATAATACAGTATTTATCTTTCTCTGACTGACTTATTTCACTTAGCATAATGCACACAAGGTCCATACACGTTGTTGCAAATGGCAAGATTTCCTACTTTTTAGGGCTAAATAATAGTCCTCTGTGTGTGCGTGTGTGCACATGTATGTGCATGCATGCCACATTTTCTTTATCCATTCATCTCTTAATGGACACTTAGGTTGTTTCCATGTCTTGGCTATTTTAAGTAATGGTGCAATGAACATGGGGGGTGGACACAGAGCAGTCTGCAAAAAATCAATTATTCATTCCAACTGCCCAAAGATTCATGTGTTTATCATAAATATTACATGAATATTTTTATACTTATTGGTAAACTAGTAAGTTTGCATTGGACAATAAACACAGAAAAGCATTACTCTTTTACTCCAGCTAAAACATCCCTGGTGTAGAGCGTGCACTTCGGATTGTGCTGGGGACGCCGGAGGAAATGGCCTTGAACAAACTTAACGCTAAATTGAGTAACTTGAGTCTTATCTTGTTCAAGTTTCTATCTCTCTCGTAGAGTTTCCTCTGATGAACACAAGATGCAAGATCCGTTCTAACAGGACCCTCCTGCCGCCCCCCGCTCCCAGCCCCCCGTTGACGTGCGCTACAGTCCCCGGAGCCCCTTGCTCTCTTAGCTGCTGCGCCTCCTGGTTTCTTCTTCGCAGAATCTTCCAGAATTGCTCGCTTTCCTGGGCACGCTGGCCAGTGGTGGGGAGGGGTGTTCCAGGCTTCCAAGCCATTCTTCCGGGCCTCAGGTCACCGAGATCCTTCTCGGCTGTCCCTGACCTGCTTCAACCTCCATCAGCTCCTCCTACCCTACAGAGCCCCGGCCTCTGACCGTTTCTCGCGCACTCTTCGGAGGAGGCTGTGCTCCTTCCGAGACGCTCGGCTTGGCGGTAGCAGGCTCTGTGAAGCGTGCTGTGCACCGGTCCGTTCCGAGACCTCCACGCCAGGCGCTCGGGCTTCCTGGGACGACGCTTGGCTCTTCTTTATTCGCGGACGCGGCGGCTTCACCTTCCTCTCTAAACAGCACCCCGGAAAACCTCCTCCTCGCTAACCTACCAGCTCCGGGAGCGACCCGAAAAGGCATCCGCGGGTTGCGCATGCGGACTCGGCGGCCGCCACACAGACGCCCCGCGGCCGCCTCCCTCCGACCCGCCACGGCCGTTTGGAGCTCCCTGACAGCTCCACGACCAGCGGACGCAGCCTCGTCTCGTGCCTCCACGTTGTCCTATCAGAGATGGGGCGGGGCGGAGGCCCCCGCAGCCTATCAACGCGAACCACGACCCCGGCGAGCCCAGTAGGAGAGCAGCCGGGAAGAAGGCGATTGGGCGGCAGCTGCGCTCGGGGCGTAGCGTCGCCCGGGCTCCGCCCACCGCTGCCTTCCTCCGGTGGGCGCCCGCGGCCGCTTAGGCCTGAGCGAGAGCCGACGGCGGGCGGGCGCAGCTGCAGCCTGAGCGCCGGCGGGGCTGGTGGGCCCCGCACCCTCTCTCGTCCTCGCCGCCCGCGCCCTCGGACATGGTGGCCCCCGGCTCTGTGACCAGCCGGCTGGGCTCGGTGTTCCCCTTCCTGCTGGTCCTGGTGGACCTGCAGTACGAAGGTGAGTCCTGTCCTGCCCTGGCCGGGGGAGGTGGGCGCCCGGGCCAGGCCCCCTGGCGCTTCCCCGCCTGCATCCGGGCGCGAGTCTCGGGGCGGCTGGGCGGGAGCCGGGGAGTCCGCGCGGCCCGGCTGGGCCTGAGACCGCCCCTGGGCGGGGGCCGGCACCCGATTCCGGGTTTGTCTGGGGAAGAGGTGGTGGGACCGGCGGGCCGCCCGGCGGGGACGGACGGGTTCGGAGTGAGGAGCGGGGCCGAAGGAGGTCGAGGGGGTGCGGGGGAGCGGGGCATCCGGCACGACTCCTGAGTGTCCCGGGACGCGGAGACCGGAGCAGCCGTCGGGTCCCGGCCTCGCTTGGGACCCTCTGGGGACACTTGGTCGGTGGTGCTGGGAGGAGGCAGTAAAGGTGGCCAAAGGGGAGGTCTCTTTCGCTTCGGAGTTCCGGGGGGCGGGGGGAGTGTGTCCGACTGCGCTTAGTGGAGGGGACAGTGTTGACTGTTCAGAGTTGAGTAACCCTCGCATTACTGTGTGTCGTGGATGGAAGTTGTTAGGTTGGTGCGTTAAGGCGGGTGCTGGCATTCCAAGCTCCCGGAGGGCAAGGCACGAAGTTTGTGGTTTAACTACTCCCGGCATGGTGCCCTTCAGCTTACCGCTGGCTTTCCTTTTCCGAGTTCTCTGAAAAAAGGTCCCCTTAAAAGGTACGGAACGCTTAAATTGTGCTTGAGTCCTACAGATTGGATTGTTGGCTACTCTAACAGAATAGCAAAAGCAAAGGGCTGTCCCATCATAGATGTCAGCGGGAGCAGTAAGAATTAAAGCTGAGGGTGCCAATTGAACTAATGCTTCCATCCTGGTGACTGCAAGAAATATTCGAGTGTGATGTCCTATCACATGCACTGATCTGCTTTCATTCCTATGAAAAGGGCTAGTCAAGGGGGTCACATATTTCAATATGAGACTTAATGTTAGATTTGGAGGGACTGAGGAACCACAGTTGGGAATTGTTTATGGTAAAATCCCCTCAAAATTCTCAACTTAAAAAAAAAGTAGGGCGCCTGGGTGGCTCAGGTGGTTAGGCATCTGCCTTAGGCTCAGGTCATGATCTCAGGGTCCTGGGATCGAGTTCCGCATCAGGCTCCCTGCTCCTTGGGAGCCTGCTTCTCCCTCTGCCTCTCTCTCTGTGTGTCTCTCATGAATAAATAAATAAAATCTTTAAAAAAAAAAAAAAGTAATACACTCTCCACATTTTAGGTCCCATTCATGGCAGTGTTAACGTTGTTCTCCTGGTGACCCCATATCAGAACATAGAATCGTGACAACATTGGGACAAAGAAATTGTCTAGGTTGCCCTAGACAATCTAGGGAATTGAACTTTGAATGCCCGGACCACTTTAATATGGGTCATGTATTCCAGTTCTCTTGCATTTTCTAATGTTAACACCCCCCCCCCCCATGTCACATTTTGTCCAGTTACTACTGGTGATTTATTTTGACCACTTAAGAGAAAGTTCCCTATGTTCTGTTTTATGCTTTTTAAGTTATGAAAGCGCACACTTTTATATGATTTGCTTTCCTACTAGCTTTTGGACTACCTTTTTGGAATGGCTGTTCTGTACGACTCAGTACTTCATTTCCTTCCTAGAGTATTTTCCATAAGAAAAACTTCATTAGAGAGTTTTTCTGTGTAGAAGGCATTCTCAGAGGAGTGCCAGAGTGCTGTTCTTGAGGAGCATTGCCTGTATGAAGTAGCAGAGACTTGGTACAGGTAGTAGGAAAAAAGGGGAAAAGATCTTAAATTCATTAAAGGTCTTCTGTGTGCCAGCCTTCTTTCTTTTTTTTTAAAAGATTTTATTTATTTGACAGAGAGAGATACAGCGAGAGAGGGAACACAAGCAGGGGGAGTGGGAGAGGGAGAAGCAGGCTTCCTGCAGAGCAGGGAGCCCGATGTGGGGCTCGATCCCAGCACCCTGGGATCATGACCCGAGCCTGAAGGCAGACACTTAACGACTGAGCCACCCAGGCACCCCGAATGTTTTATATTTTAATTTTTTTTTTTTTTAGATTTTATTGATTTGAGAGAGACAGAGATAGTGATATAGAGAGCAAAGTGGGGAGGAGAGGGAGAAGCAGGCTCCCCACAGAGCAGGGAGCCCGATGCGGGACTCGATCCCAGGACCCTGGGATCATGATCTGAGCCGAAGGCAGACGCTTAACGACTGAGCCACCCAGGCGCCCCATCCCAGGCATCCTTCTATAAGTGATCTCTCATTCATGGAGGTATGTGATACTATTTCTACTTTACAGATGAGGGAACTTTAGCTATAATGTCACAGAGCTGTTAAATCCAAGAACCATAAATTAAACTCAGTTATTTGACTCTGAAGTTCATCTTGTGTATCATGTGGGCCCCAGCATTTGTAAGTGGTGGCAGCTGAGAGAAATCAGCATTTTTTTTTTTTTTTTTTTTTTTGGTTTGTTTGCCACTGGGGGTAATGAGATGATTTCTTGTCATGTTAATACATCGGTTCTCAAACTTGAGTGTGTATCAGAATCTTAACTGAAGGGCTTTTAAAAGCAGAGTGCTGGGTCCCCCTCTCAGCATTTCTGATTCAGTAGGTCTGGGTGGGACCTGAAATTTCACATTTCTAAAAAGTAATCACTGGTGAGAATCACTGGTCTAATAATTCATATAGAGGAGTAAAGTTAGGTGTCTGCATGTACTAGACACTAAATTTGGTGATGAGGATATAAAGGTTAGAAAGAACCTTTGACCTGAATTGACAAACTGTTAACTCCTGTTTTCCAGAATAAGTTATGTTTGGTTTCAGGAACCTCAGAGTCCTCCAGGGGGATATAGGTCTGAGGTTCAGAGGGAGAGGAAGTGAAGGAGAAGGGTGTGAGAATAGTGAGTGTGAAACACAGAGTTGCATGCGACAGAGAGGGTCACCAGTAATTAGCTTAGTTGGCCTAGTTTTTTTCTGATTTAAAAATATTCATCTTGGGGCGCCTGGGTGGCTCAGATGGTTAAGCGTCTGCCTTCGGCTCAGGTCATGATCTCAGGGTCCTGGGATCGAGTCCCGCATCGGGCTCCCTGCTCCTTGGGAGCCTGCTTCTCGCTCTGCCTCTCTCTCTCTCTCATGAATAAATAAAATAAAAATCTTAAAAAAAAAAAATATTCATCTTTGTACCCCCCCCTTCCAGGCTTTTCTGTTAATTGTGATCCAAAGAAAGAGACTATGTAATAGTCTTATGAATTGAAAGATTACATCTTTTAGCACTCTTTTTCAAAAAGGCCTTTGAAAGAAGTCCAAAGCACTAGGTTAGGAATAGAATTTTTGGAGCAGAAAGAAAACTTTAGTAGTATCTAGTATTCTCATGTTACAGATAACATAGCTATTTTAATTCTTTGCTAATGGTTTGTTCTGTGTGGTGCCTTGAGTAGGAACACAGCCTTTTATCTTTTTTTGTTCCTTAACATGCTTCCTGGACCCAGTTTTTCTTTATTTCACTGAACTGACCCAACTAAACCATTTATTTGGCCGTAGGTAAAGAATAGTTGGAAATCTGTAGGTATAAATGATACTGAAATTTTTATATTCATTTAACCTACTTAAAGTATACTTTGTTTCTCTAGGATTTTCTGGCATTATTTAAATTTGTAAAGACACATAAAGTAGGGAAAATGAATGACTTTCAGTAATTTACACACACTGAGTATTTTAGTAGATGGTCAGATAGCTTCTAGAGTTCTTTTAATATGATAGGTTATAGATAATAGTGTAAAAGTTCCAGTTCACTTGACTAGCTAGCATTTGCTGAGCAAGGGCCTGAAATGCAGTAAAATTTTTTCTGTGGGACAGCGGTGGTTGTTCTGAGATGGGATTCCCTGCAGTAATTATTAGGCTTTATTTTCTCATATGAAGTGAATTAATTGTGTTTAAGTTTAATTTCTTTTGTCATGGTTTTCTTTTGATTAATGTCCAGCAGTTTATCTTTGTTTATATGGAAATATCATGGGAACCCAGTCACCTGCTCTTTAGAACTAAGACATTTCAACTGTAGATTTATTTTTCTTTCAAGATCTTTAGAAAGCTGGTTTTTAAAAAAACTTGTTTATTTCTTGTTTTGTACATCTGATAAGTTTGTGTCATTTGGAGTTCTGGAATATGGGAATCAGTGGAGGCTTACTCTATAGTGCTTTCTGGTGAGATATAGTATAGAACTCATGGTTTTGCCATTGAGTTTATAGACCACTTGAGGGTATAAGACATGCTTTGTGAAGTATGCATGTCCTCTTCCCTCTCTTCTCAGTTTAGATTTATTGGTCCACCTTATAGTCACATCATTGCAAAAATCTTTTAGTTTCCTTGCCCCTGCATTCTTTTGTTTTACTCATGTGGCAAAATTTGACACCTCTGAAACCCAAATTGACCAGCTTGTTTGTTGTATCTCAGAGTTGAACATGGCTGGAGAAAAATGGAAATAACCTTGCTGACTGGTCTCACTGTAAGCATATAATCTCAATTTCAAATGCACACTCAATATTGCCAGCATTCCTACAATTCCCTAGTATGTCCATTCCTGAAAAGCAGCATTTCAGACCTTTTCTTTTCCTTAAATCTCCAATGTAACCCCCCTTTCCTCCCTCTGTACCTCATTCTTTTAGACCTTGTCTTTATTTGAGAAAATGAAAGCCACCACAGGCAGTTTCCTTTTCTTTCTTCCACTAAAGTCACTAGCCTACCTATGTTTATACCCAGTCTGCTACTTTTCTTATATTAAAATGGCTAAAGTGGGCACCTGGGTGGCTCAGATGGTTAAGCGTCTGCCTTCGGCTCAGGTCATGATCTCAGGGTCCTGGGATCGAGTCCCGCATCGGGCTCCCTGCTCCTCGGGAGCCTGCTTCTCCCTCTGCCTCTCTCTCTCTCTCTGTCTGTCATGAATAAATAAATAAAATCTTTAAAAAAAATAATAAAATAAAATAAAATGGCTAAAGTATCTCTA